GTAATGATTTGATCATGTAATTAGCATGAATCTTAGCTAAGTTATTGGGAATCCTAAATAGGGAGTCATAAATTAACTGCCGATGTTTATGATTGTTAGTACATATTGATCCACACGAGGTGATTCTTTCGATATTATTCTCTAATGTAGAAAGTGTTGCAGTACATTATAGAGGATACAAGTGGTATTGGTTTAATGCTAGTAATATTTTTAGTGAGAGACGAACCCAGAATATGCTTAGGTAAAGGCAAAAATTTCGACAATACTTTTGTGTAAAATAAATCGCGTGACAACAATAAGCGATACAACGTGATGTGGCATTTATTTTAGAATAGATTCATTAATTCGCAAACGAAATGCAGCATAACATAAAGTGGTATTGAATTGATTTTCGTGGCGTGTGATGCGCGCGCGTCGGTTATGAATGGGCCGCAGTGAATCACGCGCGTCCATTCATGCTGCGCCGCCTCCGCGCGCCGCACGCGCCTAACTAAACAAACGCATTATTTGCCAATACAGTCGTATTGTCTTTCATTTGCACCATCAACCTCTCACTTCCTGCCAGCGATATCGCTTATTATTTACTCCTACCTCACCATCATTACCGTCCCAGCTAGATACCGAAGGCTAATACGTTTTAATTCCACACTCTGCGACTATACTATTGCATTAAATGTCGATTTCCCGTTTCTATGTTGAATCGTGAAATTTAAAATGAGACGTTAAAGTTCGGTTAACCATCGCCTCTAAGTATTAATGTAGTATAGTTAGTGCATAACCCTGAGCGGTGCGGTGGCCCCGGCAACAATCACTTTATATTGAAACATTATATCAACAAAATGGTGCCTTGACCTCTTCTAGCGGTGACTCCGCGCGAACTTGTGAGTAGAGTCGTGACACTTGAGGCGACACTGAGCTTTAATCGCCGCATATTCATCGACAGTTTGAGGGCATCGCAACACAGAAGGAAATCCATCATCGCCTACAGTCCATAAAAATTCTATCGAAACATCTGACATCTTTTAGTAAATGAGCATACTTAATTATGCCCCGGGTCATTTGCCATTCTCTTCAACATAAAACCAAGAATTAATGCTGAAATACTTTTATATGAGCTAATTTAAATAATTCAATGCAAATTCGACATAAAAATTAATGGTTCGACTTAAGTGGAATCTAATTCCTGATTAGGCACGGTGGGATTATTAGTTTATAAGTATTATATACATACCCTAAAGAGAAAATACCACAATATTTGTCCGAAGTACTTATAAGTCGGATTTATATGTGTAATTAATGGTAATTACTGTTGGTCTGGGTAGTCATTCTTAATCGTATTGGGTGACTATAGTATTCGTAATAACTTTTCATTTTTTAAATATAACAAAAAAGTTTTGTGCACTATACATACAAACACAATGTTTTTTTTTTAATATTAATATGTCTGTTTTTAATTTCCCGGGTGATGTTATTAAAATAATATTAAATGCAAATGAGGTTTTATAATAATTTCAATTCTGCTATGATACCATTTATTGCGTTGTAAACTATAATGTAATTAATGTATTTAGATGCAGAGCAATGAGATCTGTGGTACCGCATCTCACAACATAATTAGATTCGGGTACTTAGACACTGGCGGGACCACTTAGCGTGTCGTTTATTGAATGTGTATCGGCTGAGGAAAGTTTTAATGCTTTTTAATGAATTTAAATGTATTCTTAATTACAAACTGGTTCAGGTGCGTTAACCTGCATTTAGGGTCGTAGTTGTCGCTCACTCAACTTACCGTTTTTCAAATTTACTTTGCATACGATCAATTAATACGAAACCACGACTCAAGCCATGCGATCAGTTCAAATAATGCACTAGAATTATGAGGAAAATACTTTGCGGTATTTAAATTAGATAAATGATGATGTGGATGAAAAATATACATACAGTACAAAGCTACGAAACTATCTACAAAATCCTAATCCGCAAAAGGCCGGCAATGCCCTCGTAACTCCACTTGTGTTGTGGGTGTCCATGGGCGACACTGATTGCTTATATCATCAACTAATCAGCATGTTCGTTTGCCGACCTGTCACATAAAAAAGTGGTACTATCTGCTTTCCATAGTGGTATTTCTAATAGGACGGAAAACATATTAAATTCTTAAATGGATTACCAATATCAACACCTGCGTTAGACAAAATTTAAGGAGCAGATACGTTACGTTTTAAACTATAAATTAATCAATGTCAACATTAAATAAATAAAAGAAACAATATGAAGAAGAAGAGTATTATAATAAAGATATCGGATTTCCCAATTTTAATTTCGGCATAGAAATAATCTATTAAAATTTGTGATAGCTATCGAGGTGTATTTTTGCATAACTAGGTACCTGTCGCTTGAAACATGTCTCATAAAATTTATTTTTATTATACAGACTTCCGTTGCTGATAAATAATAGAATGATTAATAACGAAAGAAAAACAAAAAGTTTTTATTTTTCTGAAATTAAATACGAATATAGCCTATATCTATATCAGAATCTATCATCTATTATAGAGGTTGAGAAATAATTACCTAATTAATTAATATTATTTTACGCACCATAAGTGATTTACTTACCGTTTGTAACCCGCGGACTTTATTTTGAGTGCTCTGGAGAAGGCAGAACTCAATTGTCGTAATTTTCATAAAACTGAAGCCGGAAGGGCTGTCTTACGGCTTTTACTAGGATAGTATTAAAGTTCAAATATCATCTTTGTATGAAAACGAACTTTCTATTCACCAATCTACCTAATTTTGGTCTTGGAATATTCCCAAAAGACCAGAAAAGGGTTGAACTGTGATAAAATAAGGAAAAATGTGTATATAAACTGCAATGAAAGCCACATAAGATATAGACAAGGGAAAAGTGGCCATTATTAAACTTTTTATTTCAATTATTTCTTACCATCATCCAGTGTTTTGCAAATGCAAACGTTGAGCTGATTAAGATTTAAAAAACAAAAACTATGCATTAATAAGCACGAACAATTTGTCGTGAAGTTTTTTTATCGTATTTCAAAACGTCAACTCGTTCTATAAGTGAACGTGTGTTCACGGTGACATTAAAAGATCACGATTTTATGATACATGCATTCCCTGGAAATTTGACATTCGAATAAGTACATAATAGGTATCAAATTGCACATGGTTCTAGATGTTTCTATCCTGTCCTTAATTTATTGTGGGATATCTAGACATTTATTATGCAAGAGATGTCTATCTGTCTGTCTATTGGTTACCGTTACATGGGTGTAATGTAAAATTTGGATTAATCACTTATCTATCACTTTTTTGGTATAGGTACCAATACTTCTTTGATAGAAGTTGGTTTTGTTCAAAGTATATTTATAGAGCCTGTTTCGAATGCAGCTATTTTACTTTACAAAATAGTGTATAAGGATTTTAAGTCGGAATAGCCTTAATCTTGTATTAGTTTTAATAGGGCTGGCGTGGTCGCATTGTGACCAAAAGTCCCCAAATTAATAGAAGATAATAAAATAAAAAAATACTTCTTAAAGTAATATAATATACAATACACGCGTTTTGACAAAATTTTAATCGATAAGGCTCTCTACATGTTTCACAATAAATTAGAACCAGAAATTTGGTTGACAAACGATCTGCAGGAAGATATTTCGTTATGAATATGCAGCATCTTTGTACCTCTTTCTATTATTATACCGTGTAAATAACAGTATATTGATTGCACAAAAATCAAATAAAAATACCTACTGTGTATTTTTTTTTATGAATTACAAGAACTTAGCCATACAAGAAAGATGACATAGTATGTATACACAGTATGCCAATACGAGCCTTGGAAATCAAGGAGCTTGATATTCTTACTAATATATTTTTTGGTGTGCTTACATTTTCTAAGGCTCATTTCTTGCAATTCATTCAATCTACATACTCAACATAGCAGCTTAGTGTAATAAAATATTCCAACTTCCACATTTGCCACTCGAATCCTAATAAGCCGGACTCTGGATTATTTATTAAAAGTGCATGTAAACTTGCATAATTTCGACATCAATTAATATTCGCTTCATAACTCTCGTTGACGTTAAGGTGATAGCGAACTGACTCGTACGAGTGTACTCTTAACTGATATAATATTACGATATGTAAACCGATAATCTCAATTCAGATTCCCTTCACCCATTTATGGCTATACTTAATGTTTGCGATGTAAAATCGTCGTTAAAATCGAGCTTATGTTATACTCGATACTTTTGATATTCAACTAAGCTATTAGATCTTTATGGCTATGGCTTATGAGGTTTCCGGCTACTTAAGAAAACTCCAAATGTTAAGTTTGTTAGAATACGGATTAAACGTAAGAGGCATGAACTCGTGTCGTTATTATTTAATAACAAGCTCCTGCCAGCGACTTCGCCTACAATATCAGGGTAAAAAATATCAGTCAGTACCTATACGTTATTCCAGATTATAATCTATATCGATGTCAAATTTCATTGTTTTTTTGTAGATTTTAGCTGAAAGTGTCACAAACATTCAATCATATAATCTAAACTTACAATTTATCGCGTTATAAGTAATGTCAGTAAAGACTTTTTTGTCTTCTGCTTACTAAAGAAAATATACGCAAAGGGATTTACGGGAAGTTACGAGATCAATAACAGGAGGGTCAGGTTATTTATTTGTTTAATACTTCATGCACGTAACAGAATATGCCTTAGGCTTTCTCTCACAGTCTACCTTGGGGTGGTACAGAGACAAGACATTGCTAGGTATAGAAAAACACATAACTTGTGTTTCATAAATTATTGTAGGGATCATGGCCACACATATAACCTAAGTAAAAATACAAACACAAAACGTCAAAAGAGTTTATTTGTGAATGAACATTACGGAACAAGAGGCGATAGAATTCACGTCTCTGGCGAAATAGTGACAAGCGTTGCGGAAGGCTGTTAGTGCTTCGAATGAAGGTTTTACCGGGGGTGACCGGTGAGGAGCGGGGGAGAGGTGGAGGGCCACGCGTGAGCCTTGCGCAACCAGCGGCGCCAGTGAATGGAGTCTCCGCGACGCGAGTGGGCGTCGGTTTTTATCAATGAACGGCGAATTTGTGGCGTACGCACGACGGCACCGCGCGTGTCATGGACGCCATGCCGCGTGGACCGCGTCCTGCCGATGTGATGCAGCACCATCAACCTTGCTAATGGAAAATGTCAACACACGCTCACATACTGTTGCGTTATAAGTACGTTAGTTCGTTACCTTTCATTACTACTGCTCAGTATTCCACGCAATTCCAGTATCTAGCCTTATGAATTGCGAAGTGTATGTCAATCAACGACGAATGATATTCACCTAGATACTAGTTAGCTACTGCAAATGTCAGTTCCAAGACTACAAACTAACACAACAAGAGCAACAGGTGATATTTTTATTTAAGTAGGTAAAATAACATGTTACATTATTTATTACATCTACACGGGATTATTTTTTTTCCATCGAGCAGTTTTCTTCGCAGTCTTAGACAGGTACAAAGGTATTAGAAGACTTATTTTTGAGAGGCTACAACAATAATACCTTGTCTGGATTACGGGAAACGACCCCTGCTTTTGTCCGCTGCGACGTAGGTTGGTAGGTCAAGTGGCTCTTGAAACCCACGGGAAAGATTATTTACAGCGAACAAGAAAAACATATCAGGCCTACTTTTATATTAAACAAAAAAACTAAGGAAAGAAATGTTCAAATTATTTGGAACAAAAATGCCACGTGCCTTAGATATGTTTCTTAGGATTACCTACATTATTGACACACTTGTCCATCATAAATCGAGATAAATTGATTACGACTTCGATATTACGCATAATATCACGTATGTAATTGATTGCTGGTATAATTAATAAATTAAATGGATTCATTTAAAATCGAGCGTCTCGTTCCTCTCCGTATGTCGTGCTTACATTTTCATATTTATTGATGTATTCAAGAGAATTTGAAAGGAAATAATTAATTAATTTAATTGCTTCGGCACCGCTAACGCCTCCAGTTAGCCTTCGTTCAGATTTAACCATGACGTCGCGCGCGCAGCTATCTCGGCCATTGAGAAACGGGCCGCGCATGCGCTGTATTTGGCGATGACTACATTAGAAACTCTCTTAATGTAACTTTATCTAACGCACTTGGCCTTATTTATTTAACAATAAAGCACGCGTAGATAATGTTTACTTGATTATTTTCAAGTTATTTGATATTGTATTGTCTGTTATCAGGCGCGGCCCATATTTGTAGACAGCTTTCGGCCAATAGGTAGGTAATATTTTCTGTAGGTTGTTCAGTATAGATAATATTTTATTCTAATGATATATAGTAAGTTGTTATCGTTGTTCGTTTATGGATCAAGTAAACAATGCATTGAATTGAGAGGAAGCTGTGTCGTAGTTGTACTTTGAGGTAGGGGAATATCATTACTTTATATCTTTTGTATGTATTCTAAGCAAATACATATGAGAATCCAATTCAAAATCAAAATAGCACTAGCTACTAGACCAAAGCCAAAGTAAAGGTCATATTGCAAACCTAACTCCTGAATAAGCTTTAGGTATTGCAAATAATTGTCACGTTTTAAGTTGTAGCGTTAATTAATAATTTTCGCCCGTTTTACGTGTGGGCTGAAAAGCAACAACAACCAAGGGTTTACACTACTTCCTGAGTTGCGTGAAATGTATGTAGGCACCTATTTACCAAGTCTCATATAAACTAAATGAATGAGACTACCTACATTAAATTACATAATACAAATATGTTTCGTCGATCAACTGGTATATGGCTAGTGCAAAAGGTTTGCTCCCATTGCCGGGACAGACAAAACAATGCTAGGATTTTTCTTTCGGTTATAAATTTGTCATGAATCAAATGGGATTTGGCTGGAAGAGGAGTACCCCCGATTACATAGAACCCATAACGTTCGTGGACCTTATGATGACAGTAATGTCTGCTTTCCTTTTATCAAAGGTAATCCTATCTTAAACTTTATTACTATGGATTAGGGTGTGTATCACTTTGGATTATGAAAAGCATAATTATATTTCCTGAGTAATTTAGAAGACTAAGTACTTGCTTTTGTATTATACATAACCATTATACACAATATATAGTACATAACCATTATGGCTGACCCGTGCCTGTGACCCAATAGAATTAACTTTTTTTGGGAAACTTTATTTTTTAAAGTCTTATTTACTTTGGTTTGAATTTACTTCAATGAGTGCTAGAAAACGTGACCAGTGGCACGAGGACTTGAATTGGTGGATCTAGAAACTGACTTTATCTATGGAATAATATTTATTTGGGACCCCTTCTAAAAATTCAATTTTCATTTTTATCAATTCTAGTCCCTTTTGATATGATCCTGAAATTTTAAAAAGCTTACATAATGGTAAACTAGAGCACAGTAAAGTAACGATTCAAGCGAAATGTAATCAATATTTCTAAGTAAATAATAAGCTTATAAGCTTGTATCGCAAAAAGTGATCTTACCAGAAACGAAGCGCTGTTTTTAAAAACTGGTTTCGTTGACTCATATATGTAGTGTTTTGTATCTTTATGTAAATACGTACATAAGTATAGTTATTATATCAATGAAGTCTAGTAATCTATGATAAGTGGAACCATTTTTACATAAAACCTGAACATTGATCAATGTCAAGCAAAGAGGTTCAAATGTTCATAATGAAGTCGAAAACCTTTATGTTGCAATGTAAGTATGGCAATAGTAGAAGTAGATTTAGCCGAATTGATTGATATTATACGTTGGCGTAGGCGATGGCCAAGCGTGGGCAGAGCGTGGGCGACCGGAAGGAAGCCATAGCTTTTGACTTTTCACATATAACAGCACTTGCAACACGTGTCTAAACTATAAACAAAATAAAATTTAATGCTGCGATTTTCGTTTTCGTAGAGGTCAGTTGTGTTCCGCCACGCGCATTCATGTGCCCTTCGGCTTGGAATAGAAGAAGAAACGGGATGGTTTTTGGTCAATAAGTATCTGACACTCCCTCTCGCGCGCTCCCCGTCGTAGGGCGGGAGGGGACATTGGATGATATTTCAATAAAAACAAAAGAAGTACGCACTGGTTAACAGTGTGATGAGTCCAGAGTAAAAAGCAATCGCCATCACATTAACCAATACTACGAGTGTCCTAAAAGTTGACTAAGTGACTTTTTATTTACCAAAGACCTCACTGAAGCGATATATTTGCATCGATAATATACTCGATCCTCTTTATAAAGTGCGATCTGCAAGCCGCTTGACAATGATAGAGAAACAAAAAGAAAGACAAATTCTTTTTTGTGGGAGACGTAGAATATAGTAGCTGTATTGGAGTGATGCAGGCAAAATAAAAGAGAACTGTTCAAGTCAACAATTCGTGTAATAGTGTCATAATTTAGTGTGTGCAGTTACAAATATAAGGTTAGGCGAGCTGCACACTACATAGCCCATAGACCAGAAGTGCACCTTCACTGGTTTTGGTGATGGTAGTGAGGTACACTAGGTGTATTTATGTCACGTAAATAAGGTTACCCATAATTATTCAGCTCTGTACTCATTTACTAGGGAACGTATTATAATGGAGGTGAGCTTCTGCTTCTCGCGCTCAGTTTAATGCTGTGGCCTGACCAACAAAAACTTGAGTCCACGGCAGCAGGCGGTTCTAGCAGCAGCCAGGTTGCACTGTTCTTACTGACAAAGTCTAAGCAGTGAGCTCTTAAGAAAACACGAGTATGCATATTATATAAGGGTTTGAATTAGCTTTTTTTTCTTATGTCCGTAAAGACTATCGAATGTTATAAGTATTGTGTGCCTACCTAACACAGGTAATAAGTAACTCTCAAGCGGAAATCTGTAATTCGAGTGCATAAAACCCTATGTCATTAAAACAATATCTAATTACAACGTTTAAAATTAATGTAGACGTATATACTTATAATTCTTGATAATTGATATAATCTTAATGTGATTATGTCCTCAAGTCAAACTACGAAAAGAATAATGGTTTTATTAAGTCAATTACATGTTTAACAAATGTATGTAATTCAATAACCAAACGTTTTGGCTATAGGATGTAATCATAGGTAATAAGGAAAATGGCCGGCAATGCCAATCAACGGTGTTCGACTAGCCATAGCCTGCAGCTTTAGTCGCTCGGTCAACTTTATCGGTCAACAGACATATTTTTTTATCTTCACTTATAGAATTTTAACGAGAAATATTTTGCGTTAAGAATGGTACGTTATTTTTTTTGTCGAAATCGAAGTGTGTGAATTATTTATTTTGTTTTGTAGTTATGTGCAGTAGAGCTGTACGCATTTTTTTTTTTTTTTGTTGAACCAGTGGTTTACCAGAACACTGATCTAAGCGACATTATATTTTGTTTTTTCTGTTGTGTCTCAGTCAAAATAATGAATTATCAGAAGAAGTGCCAATATCAAAACGAAATAGACTCGCAAGCTAGAAATGGTCACAGCACGACCACAGTCTGATTACAGCACAGATTTGGCGGTACTTCAGTGCGGTTTCAGAACGGCTACAATGCGAACACGGCGCAGCTACGGTACGGCTACGCTGCGACTACGCCGCGGCTACGCTGCAACTACTGCGCTGCTGCCATGCACCTACGATGAACTGTAATGTTTATAACATGAATATTTTGCCTTCTACAATAACTCGCTGCTACATTATTCGTATGTGTAATGCGATCATAATAAACTCTAAATCGATAGATTCATCTTAACAACCACAAGACGTCCGCTGCTGAACATAGGCCACCTTAAACGAAGAACCTGCAATCTCTTCACTGATAATGAAATGTAGGTACCTAATAATGTATATATAGGAACCTAAGTATTTAACATAATGTATGTACGTGTTATCAAAATGAACGTATTGCATTTTACAGAAAAAAATGGTGGCACAGTACAAGATACTCGAACTATGTTTTTATATTGCAAACAGTTCTTCGAGTAATTACAAACATTCTTAGTACCTGCTATTTCTAAACAAGTAGATACTTACTTAGTACGCAAATCTACGGGAAAAATAATTGGAATAAAAATTTATTAATAAATAATACATTTTGTAAATGTATACTGCTACTAAGAAAGAATCTTTAAGAAAATTACATGGAAAGGATACTTTACGGACTTATTATTTTATTTTATGTAATAAAAGATTCCGAAGAATCGTAAATCTCCTTTGATTGATGGGTATCAAAAATAAGTGTCTTATATTTTTAATTCTACCTAGCTACGTTGAAAATATTGAAGAACTGTACATATATATAGTTTTAAAAATGCTTTATAATATTTTGTGAAAAAAAAAACATGTCCAAGATTTTAATATTATGTGGAACATTGATGACAATGACGGTTTGGAACCCTCTATGAGTTCAAAATCATGCAACGTAATGTTCTTCATTTGAATATTAAGAAAAACGTGGCGAGTTTCTCTATGGGTGTTGCGTCGCAAGTATTTCCGGCGGGTCAGCGGCCGAGCACACGCCAAACCGGTTCAGTAATTTGGTGTTTCTGGAGAGCCATGTCGATTAATTTACGATAGACGAGCTTCCTGTCAAAAAAGATGCGACATTCAACTCCATGATATGACAACTCAACCATTAGATATCTATCAGTTTCGTTTCGTTTTAACCTTTCAACGAAATTGTTAATTAGGCTGGCTTGAACGAACCTTCACTAGAGTCGGTGATGTCATCTTTGAGTCAAATCTAACCGTTTATAATAATTATAATATATCTGAAGCGTGCATTAAGTAATTTTAATATTATGATATAATTTCTGATTGGTTTAGCGATACATAGATATATCGAATAATTTATCTTACAACAGGTACATGACTATACTTATGTATTTGCATAGTTAAATATTAAATGCGAATATTGCTTACTCTATACATTTTATATCCATGATAAAAATATCCTATTAACACCTGTGTAAGTAATAAAGCGCATATAAGTTAATTTTCGTTCTACGTGAAATTCTCTAAGTTTATATTTTTATATTATATGTAAACTGAGAATAATTTGCAGGTAATTTTGATACTTTCATTACATCACCGATGCTATTCTAACACGATCAAAACTAAGTCAAGACCTTCAAAATACTACCTCTAAAAGGATAAAAATAGAGTTAGAACAAATATCTTCCGAGAAAACCTGCACTGATCACTCCCTGTGTCATTTTGCGGTTAACCAGGATTAATCATTCATTCAACATTCAAATCATTACGGGATTATTCTTAGAAATACGTTTGTTTGTTTCAAGTGTATATAATTCAATTATAAAATAAATATACATATAATTGCATTTACATTTATTTTTAAACAGATAAATTCTAATACGTTGTTATTTTAATTCAAAACGAAGGTAGTTTGGTGAAAATACAGTTTTTAATAAAGAACAGCTTTTGAATAAAAGACAATGATACAAATATTTTAATTAAATATATTTTATATACAAGTATTTCAACATTTGTAGTATTGCCATTTCTACCTAAATGTAGGTAGGTAAATGTCAATTTATCCTGAGCTAATTAAAGATATTGTTTCATAAACATTAGCCAGACATGACGCATTTCAGTAGGTTGATAATGTTATTGAAAGCTTCGTTTGTCCTTCATATTCCTTAAGAACCGTATTTTTATACACAAAATTTTAATACATTTTCCTGAAGCAATTTATTCTTATAGGGGATTATTTTAAATAAGACCCAATTAAAATTGTTTTTCGACGATATAAATAGATCTATATGATCATGCTAAGCAGGATTCAAGGTTTGTTTTCAGCTTCAAAATATTTTTCATGTTAAAGTACTTCGTACTTAGAATACTTCAAGTAATCAGTTGTCTAGACTGCAAAGCATGACGTCTCAATTTATTTTTTGTGTAATAAGTACTTCTTACACTGAAAGCTAATTTTCGAACATTCAGTTATACAGAAATAATAAATGAATTTCAATAAATGAACGAGAAACAAATGAAGTTGATACTTAACTGTTAATTTCAGAGGAATTTTGCTTATGACTCTGAAAGCTTGATAGTTTATAACTCAATCCATAGATGGCTGTGCCAATGTTACACCAGCTACTACAATTATTTTACATTAAACCTTTTCTGTCTGTGGACCATAGACAGAACTTGTGTTTTAACACCTAGTACTTACTTATTTTAAGTTTTTGTTTTGCTTTCCTTTTTTTTCTCCCGTAATGATTACCTTTCGCTTCCTATAATATTTTTGTTGCAGTTTTAAGTTCATGTCTGTTCTGCGCAAAAATATATGGTTTTCTTTCTTTCTCATTTTCAATAATTCCATTAATGGAGTTACGAAAAAGATTCCTCTACGAGACTGCCTGCTTTTCTACGACAAACGAGTGTTATAAGTTAGTTTTATTAAAGACGTAAAAAAAAAGGAAACCTAACTTATAGGACCCAAATAAAATATTATTATAAGTATGTGTTCAAATGTACGGATAACAAAACCTTAATCGTATAACGCTTAACAACTTACGAATTGAAAAAATAACAAAACACGGCCGTAATAAACTTTAGAGGTCGAAAACATTTTTTACGTCGAGTCCAAAACGACATGGCTGAATTTGAATTAACTTTTATAAACACAATTAAACCTTGTGATACTTTATAAAAGTGTCCGAAAACAACAGCGGCAATAATACATTGACATATTAAGTACCACTATAAAACTGCAAGGGACCACCCGGGTCATGGACCATGGTGTTTATTCCGAGAACTGTCACACAACGTGACATTCGCATTATTTTTGTACACTACAACATTCGCTGGCGAAAAGCACCTTAATGTAAAAATTGTATATTATTAGGTCATCAACAATAAATCACTTCGTATAAAACCAGTAGTTAGAGATGAGAAAATAATTTGTTGATATAAATTAGGCGCGGTGCACGGTGGTGGCGCGTGGGCCGTGAGGTGAGAGGGAAGTGTCGCGTGCGCGTGCGCAACCTACGCTCAGCTCGTGCCGCCATTATTTTTCAACTTGTCCGTTGAAATGAAACAAAAGAAATGTGCTTTAGCACACGAAGAGTATAGGAGTTGTTTTAATTAACCCCTAGTAGTTTCTTTCAGTGTTATTTAGATGCTGTTAGACATACATACATATTTCTTGTAATCTGGTTAACTTGCTTCATTTTAATAAAAATGGTTCAAGTGTTGAGAGTAACTAAATGGAATATATTAAACTATCACCTCAAGACATTTTATGATATTTACTTAAGTATGTAAACGCGTAAATATGTCCACTTAAAGTTTTGTAAAGCTTATTAGTTATGCTTTTATGACGTCTTCCAAGATTGTTTCTCAAAGTTCATTTATTTTTTAAGGCTACCTTTGAAAAAGTATTAAACGTGTTATTTATTCTAATATTTAATTACTATTAAAACGAAGTTTGAAGTTTTTATTTGACATTTTATTATTTTATTCACGCAACTCATTTGTTTTTAATTTCGAAGCGTTTCTAATAAACAATTATGATTTTAAATGAGACCGTTTCAAACATGGAAAATAAAAAACAAATAATATCTAAACGTAATTTATACTTATCTTACTTGATAAACAAAAATCTTGTGCTTATTTTTAGTACAAGTTAAGGTACTAATCTATCTAGAATTACTTAGGAATATAAAATAATATACCTGTTAAGTAGGCAATGAAGGAATGATTCCTTCCGAGATTCATCGCAACACCACCTCAATTCGTAAATATAAGTAATTACCTTCATATTTCATTTAAAATAAATATTACCTTTTTGACAGTCTATTAGAGTTATAACATCAATCGCACCTACTAACGCCATCTAGTATTCAGACTTAAATTCCATTCCCGCAACTGGTCCACAGATGTTTTTACCAACGAGCCACTTGGCGAGCGAGAATCTGTGGCGCGTCGAAGGAACCGTAGGTAGGAAATTATTGCCGTCAGCTTGTTCGTAAAGTAGGGTAATGTAGCGGTGCGGGCCTGCACCGTGAGGTGGCGCTGGTGGCTTGTACCCTAAAATAATTATGTTTTAAAAATTGATTTTAAATAAAAAGGATATAATTATATTACTTAGGTATCTAAGTAATATAATTGATTAGTATTAGTATGTATTAAAATGTAGTAGATACATAACAAAAAGGAGATTATAATTACCTCTATAATCTATACCAACTGTTTTGCTACTGTCCATCGTTCTCAATGCAAGACCCTAAAAATAAAAGACATTTTAATTACGTTTCTTTATAAAATATACTTATGTATGCTGTAAAAAAATATGAATCACTCACTGGTATATTAGATTTAACCATGTGAAGATAAAACTCGCCATCTACCTGCGGTGGAGCATCTGGGTCAACCATAATCAAAGTGTAGAACTTTTTCTGTAATACAAAAAAAAACATTTTCTTTAAAAACTTAAGTTTGTTTACTTGCCAACCCAAAGTTAAGAAAGAGGTTGATTATCAAATTACTGCATCGGCCAGCGGGTACTGGAACAGAGGTTCCTCAATGAACACTTGTTTCGGAAGAAGGACATCACAGTTGTGATCATTAACAATGGTGCCGCCGACGCTGGTTATATTCAACCCTGTAAGCCTGTCACAACCCTCCAGCAGACTTTTGACTTCAGTTGTAGAGCACTGAGGATTTGAGTATGCCACCCTCCATAAGAATACAATCCACAAACATCGTTTAATCATTATAACACCGCAACGTTTTGAATCGCTAACAGTTACTGAATTTTTAACCGTTAGGTACTTAGGTACAAAAAATACGCTGTAACATGTTGCTAAATTGACAGCCGGTTGTTTTTAAACAAAACGGTAACAATGGTTGCGATAACATTGATTTTCTAAAGCGAATGAGCGGGGATGTTGTTTCCTCATTATGTAAGGAGGAAGTGTGTAGTATACAGTATAGAATGTTATAGGACTTTAATCATCAAATCCCTTCTCTCGCCCAGGGTCAGGCGAGAGGCATTGTCAGATTCTTTCTGAATAAACCCCCCGTTTCTTCTCCTGTTCTATGCCGCAGTAGGCCGCAGTACCTTAATGCGGTTGCCCCGAAACCTTAAACGTCGGCCCTATTGGGCCCCATCTTTGGTGTAATGGTATTCTATTGGCTCCTTAAGGTGCGCGCGAACGCTTAGCGCCTTATGCTCGGCTAGGTACTCAGATAATCAACTAATTAGATTTTTTATTCCATTTTTACTACCCATCATTTAGGTCCAATAATCATAATAAGGTATTATTTTGATGTTTCATTTCGATGAAATGTCATGCGGCATTGCTTAGGCATACCTAATATATAGGTAGGTACTTACCTACACATAGGTCAAATTATTTTCCTAGAGTTTATCTTTCAATCATTGCATCAATCCCATCTAATTGCAGCTATGTCGTAGATGTTCGTCACACACATAATTTGCTACACAGAGGAACGTTTGAGCATTAATCACCACACTTTCAAACGTACCTATAACAACAAATTATTCCTAAATCCAGGTTTCCTCACAGTGTTTTCCTTATCCGTATGTCGGTGGGGTAAAAGAAGAAGAAAGAAGTTAAAAGTAATAGAAGTATTTAGAAAGTAAACATAACATTGAAAAAGTCGTAGGTACCTAGGTATTTCAAATTGACAGGTTTGTAATCCGCATCCTTATGCACGAGAGATGGGTGCCTTTACTTCTAAGCCACCACGTTCCGGATGAGCTGTTCATCAAAATGAAAATAAGTTGCTAGTTTCTAGGAACCTTAGGTTGTAGCAGCATTGATGTGAAACAATTAGCTACCTACTAAACATCCATTAAAGATTTAGATGATTATTTTGCGTATCTTACGCACCTTTTTAGATCTCTTCTTATTCGTTACACTCTTGGCAGAGTTGGGTTGCGCCATACCGTCGTCCTTCCTTTCAAGAGCAGCAAGTTGAGCGATGTCTCTGCACTTTTGTCGACTTTGGGCGTTTCGAGTACACTGTACTGACTGTACTACCTTTTTACATAGGACCTTGTTATACTTACGATAATGTCAGAATACTTAGTCATATGTAAATGTCATTTTTGGTCAAATTACGAAATATCTGTTATAAATAGGGAAATTTATAATAACACAATTATAAAAAAATCATGATCGTGCTGAGATAAGCAACGCTTCGTGTTGAATCTGCGATGCAGAATCTTAATAAGCGAAACAAATTAGGAATTCCGCAGCTAACAAGAGACCAGATGGTCCTTGAAATAACAGAACGAGTGAGATGCGCCAAGTTGTGGTGCAACCGATTCTGGAAGTTATTATGCAACCCCCGGCTACAGTGCCAAGTTAAGTTTCAGTTATACAAGCTCTTCGTGAGACCTATTCTCACATACGGTTGCGAAGTTTGGAACTTAGACAGTTGTTCTTCTAAAAAACTGCTACAATTTGAAATCAGCCTTTTATGTGAAATATATAAATCAAAATTTTCACAAAGGGGTTCTAACAGACTTAAGCCTAGCATCAGGACTGTGTATGATAAATACCGATCAAGCAACGTTGTAGACCACGTGAAGAATGAAAGGCTACATTGGGATGCGTTGTTAAAGTGCGAAGAAACAGCTTTGCGTAGATCACGTCGTCGGAAGTCACGCCGGTCTGTGCGCTTTTGGAACGACCCTCGTGAACCGAGATGAACAACAAAAATGGAATTTAGCTTTGTAGGACATGGTTATTGAAGAAAGTACCTAACGTAGGAATGAAAGTTATTTCGAAGCAAATTTTAATAATAGGTAGGTACACAATGTAAGAAAAACATTTGTGAAAAATTATTAAACTATGGTAAAGGTTTTTTCTGTTTTGAATATTTTAATGATGTATCGATCAATTTCAAGATGTTTGCTAATAGATTGTGATAAGTGATATAAAACACATAAATCAATGTTACGCCTTAGTTGTTGTGTTTCCTTAATTTATTACCTGGACGAGCTTCTACCAGCGACTTTGTCCGCGTGAAATAGTGAAATCTGGCAGATTTTTTGTTTTACCCACATAGTTCCCGATCTCGTAGGATTTACGGGAAGTTCTCTTTTTGAATTTTTTATTAACTATTTCTCGAGTTTTATACTGTCTACTTATAACGGTACATAGCGGCCATTCATACATAGAGAAATAGGCCTTAGGTATAGGTAAGATAATTTATAAGGGAAAACCAATTACATGAAACGGTACTTTGACTTCACCATTACCTAAGTATTTGCAACTATCAAAAACTTTTCAAATCGATACGGATACAGCGCTCCATAATAACCGTAGTGAAAGAATAAACAGAGGGAGTATGAATTCATCACTTCGTAGCATTTTATTTAGACAATTAACATTTTTTATATTGATTTTTTTTTGTCTTCGCTACTTCACGTGACTTTCTGCTTGAAGAGGCAGAATCAACGCTAGTAGACATATCTTGAGCACAATGGCATCGAGGTTGTCTAAAAAGAATCCTCTTATCACAAGCTCTTGTGAAATATGGCGATGGATCAGCAGCAGTTTTTGATATTGCATATAGCATTTTTCTGAGAATTCTGGAATCAGTTCTTGTTGTTCGTTTCCATTGTATCGCTTGCAATTTCAAATGATTAGTCACGTCCACGTCTGTATAGCGTTCATACAGATACCTTTCTCTACATGCAACAAAAATGTGTTTTAGAGCTTGAACTTCTAGAGATTTTAATCGGCTTCTGCATCTCCCAAACCAATTGTAAACCAGTAGTGGTCTCATGAATATTTTATAAGCAACAATCTTCTTGGGAAGCGACAGGTTCGAACATTTCACAAATTCATCAGTTTTAGCAAACCAGAATTTATTTTTCTTGGTCGTCATACTCAGATTATGGAATAAATATTAATTAATCGATTATCATTTAAATTATTGCAGTTAAACTAAAATAATCGCAAAAAGGCAAAAAGGTTAAAAAAGTAGTAAAGCCAAATATTTGATTTCCTGCGTTTCATTCTTTTCACGTCAAAAGGTTTTTTTTCATAAGTATTATAGCGACATACATACCTCAGAATACAGAACAAATACATACTTACATTCTATGGCGAGTTGCTCTCATTCTGTTACGAGAAACAGTATAAATAATTAAATATACATACGAGTCATGTAAATGGTATGAATATTTGTTTGTTCTTTCCTTTCACGGGACCACAGGGTCCCGGACCTTTGGAAGGCGTACGAGGAGCCGAAGCCAACTCGCAGAGGCCCGTTGAACAATTTTAATCTAAATGTGATGGGACATCAGCCAACAATTATCCCTGTATGCACTATATAAGTACACCCAAGGACAATCCCCGGTTGATGCAGGACTATTGTGAAATATGGTAAAAATTGATAGGTTTATAGGTGAGGCTTGCTATGGACTGGTGGATATGTTAACTATGGATATACTATGGCCCCTACCCCTGACCAATATTGATACATAGGGATAAACAGGCAGGGGGTGACTGGCAAACTCAATTAAGGGGCCCCCGGAAACAGCCGCTACCATGTAGCGACGCCGCTAGCATGTGGCGACAAGGGGACAACATACGTTGAGCTGCTTGGGGAAGGAGAGACATCCCACGGCTATCAGACCAATCCCGGAAGTACAGTTAAGACCCTTACCAGCACCTTACTGAGATACATTCTTCCCCCGAGTCTTCTTCAACTCCTACTCTTGCGAATCTCCACTCAAGCCAGCCAATTAAGGCAAAAATGAGGTGGGGGGGCTTGTTCTTCATCAGTGATCACTCCAGCTCGTCACAAGAACTAACCGGAGGTGAAAAACAAGATACCTCCCGGGTGTTAGGTCCGTGGGGTTGCCCCTGCCCAACAGCTCGCCACAAGCTGCCTTGCGGATGTGTATGAATATTATTATTACTTGTTTGCATAATATTATTTGATTGTTTCTTTAGCATCGTTACTCTTTTAAAAACCCTGATAAAATCTATAACAAACTTGGACTAATCTTAGTCAAAGAAACCAAATAAACTGAAAAAATTTGAGTCTAGAAATTAAAAAATCAATCTTGACAGTGACAGTACTGACAGTAATTCAACTGTCAATTGTCGAAACATGGACACTTGACAACAATGCAATATCAATAGAGTAGAAGTAGAATAACAAACAGTGTCTGCAATACATTATTACTTCATTAGGTAGTAATAACCACATTAAAATGGAATCACATCCACTCAATTTGGTAACGACTCATTTATGATGATATTAAATAGCGCTTTTATTTTAATCACAGTTCAGTAAAGTGTTTAATAATTTTGTCATCAGGCTCATCAACAACACCGTCGTGCTGAGGCGCATCTGATCAACAATAGATACGATGAAGCAATGCAGTGCCATCATAATGCTGCAGAATTATTGTTGGACGCTATGAAGTCCACGACGTCATCAGTCGCACTAGAATCTATTACATTACAACACAGTTACCACCTTAAACAAAAAGATCTCATCAAAAGCAAGAAAGAACAATACGAAAGAGTGAAAAAAGCCATGGATCATATTAAAGGTTTGAGCAAAGATCCCACCTACAATATATTAAGTAATGATAGTTCAAAAGTCCAAGTTGCTATATATAGAACAATAAATGAAGCAGATTCTTTGCTATTTAAATTAAAAAATGAAAATTCTGAACAAGGACAGGTGAAAGACGCAATTACTAAAGTGGATGTAGTGGATGGAAAGAAGATAGAAAAAGGAAAGGAAACTGTTATAGAAGAGCTACAAATATTGAATCAGAATTTGCATTCCCTTGTGGAGCAATTAGTTTTACAAGCTGAAGTACTTAAAGATGAAAACATGACATTAAAAGAAAGAGTAAGTTACTTAGAAAAGGAGAGAGTCAAGTATTTAAATCTTCCATCTCAAAGTGATTTGTTACAACGAAACTTTTCAAACATCAGTGAAAATGAAGGTTTGAGCAATGATTTTATCCAAAAGATGCCGATTTCAAAGGAACCACCACATAGACCAGTTCTTCAACCTCATTTTGATCTAAGTGCACTAAAGGACTTATAGTTAAAATATACTTTTTTTCTGTAAATATAATACAGCATAGTTAAGAAGCTAGTGGTATTTTATAAAATGCTTTGTTCTAGTAGATGTTTATGTTTTGCTCATTCAATAAAATATTACTTTTTGTTTACTCATATAAGTATTTACAATGATAAATGTTGCTTTCCACCATGACATAAGTGTCAAAATCATCATGATATATGGATATCAATATGGATAGAGTTCAATTTGGTATTATAAAGAAATTATAAAATATCTTTATTTAGTAGGTTTAGTTAATGTCAAGTACCTGTATGTATTTTTTGCCATAATAGAAGAAAGTCTTTCATGTTATGGTATTTTTTTGATTTTATTTGCTAATGTTTAGGTTGTATTACTTTGTAATTTGTTTATTTTTCTGCATAGATATAGTACTCACTCTTATTACTTGACCCTGCAAGGTCACTTTGATCCAAGACCCTAAGCCTAAACATGTAAGGTTTCCATTAGCTTAGAAAGTTTGGATCAGTTTTTTGCAGGGTCAAAGTAACCCGAACTTATGGTATGTAAAATGTATAATGTGTACATTGTGTCTTAAAAGGAATGTAATTACAGAACATAAAGTGCTGCTAATGAAAAAACGTTTTTTTGTTTTGTAGATATGTATTGCATATTGGTCTTACACAAAAATAAAATTTTACTCTTGTTTTAATGTAAAAATAAACTTCCCAGTTGTTATACCGGGAATAACTATTCTTACATCTATAAGGAATCTATACATTAACAAACAATAAAACTAATAACATGCCTATATTTTTGGTAACATGAATATTATACAGGATGTGCTACCAGTACTTATCTATTATTCCTACATAGATTTTAATTTAGGTACATTTCTCTAGTTCATTTTCATTATTTTCCAAAACCACAAATTGTTACTTCTAGATTCTAAAAAGCTCATTTTATTGTTTCTTTAATGAAACAGATCTCTCATGTGTTAAAGTGTTGGTTACAATAATTATATTGGACACATTGCCCTAACCTAACACAACTGTTGTGGCTCTAGTTAGTAGATTAATTCTCGCAACAGATTATTTTTATTATATCAACTAATTTAACACTATTCCTTTACTAAAGTACAATGGCTTCAAACCATTTCTATAACATTAAAGGCATTAAGTGATGGATTGCTTTCATTTTATGTTTTTAAAAGTTAAGTAGATTAGTTAGACATGTACACATGTAACAACAAAATTACTGAGAAACATTTTTTCTACAAAGCACAAGCCTTAAGAGAGCAATAAAGATCAAATTAGTGACAAGTTAAAAAGTAGTGTTTTAGTGTTAAATTCATCAAAATGATAAAAACTAAAAATATGTGACAATAGTGTAGTAAAGATAATCTTAAAGTAATGATAAGATTATTATATCTTATTATATATAGGTAGGTATACATTGGGGATTAACAATATGTAGGTATATTTATTTCATTTGGCATTTCATAATCTGTATATTTATGTGAGAAATGATATACACAGAATAATCTTGGTCTTCTACTATAGCTCACAACAGAGACCTATTTATTTATCAGTAACCAATAGTGCTACTTGATCCTTAAATCTACAAAATAACCACTTATTTAGGCATAAATAATAAACAGAACTTCAATTACTTTATCTTAAAGCATTTCGAGAAACACGACATGAATAGGCACTAAAATGGCAAATCACATGTTAGAAGTGAACAGTAGTCATTAATTAACTCACAACCACAATATATACATACATAAACCAATAATTCCATTAATATTTTAGGCGTTTTTGAGTTCATTATTTTAAATTAAAGTTACTTATTAATATGCATTAATTTAACTCAGCCCTAAAAACATTCATCACATCTAACATAAAAACATATAGGATGCATTCATTATTTGGGTATAACCAAGACGTTTACTGTGTTTTAACAGAAAACTTGAGATTACTTCCTTTCTCATTTACTTATCAAAAATGTGTCAAACGTCCGACTCACAAGCCTTACCTAACTAGCCTTCAGCAATGAACTTATTAAGCTGTAATAATTAAAATAATAAATACTGTAGATTACAACTAAAAATACATCAATATTTGGGAGATTTGAGAAGAAACTGAATTAAGTTTTAGAGACTCAAGGGGTGTATGGGGGTGGAGGTGGAAGTACTGAGAGGTCATCGAAGGGGAAGTATTGTTGTGACCCGAGCACTGGTGGCGCGTAGGCAGGGTGGATGGTAGGCACGTAGTCTGCGCTCGGTGTGTACGGTGGTAATGTAGGCACGGCAGGTGTAGGGCCCACGCTGTGAGCCTCATATCCATCCCAGTCTTCCATTAAATTACGTCTCTGAACATCCTCGTCGCTTGACAGTGGAGCTCCCCAAAGATTTGCAGCAGATGCTAACAAGGCTAATGCACCTGTAATATATAAATAATAAAATTATTTTACTTATTTACCACTTTTTAGTGTATACTACTGTTTGTATTGATACTTTTCCATTAACATCATTCTAAGATTTTTATAAATGAACATAGTGATTTTCTATCGCATATATTTACTCAAGAGTTTAGTTTAATCAACAAATAGCACCATTGGAAAATGGAAAACTTATTCGCATTACACACAAGTGTGAATTCTTAAACTTATGAAGTTTTGGTGTGTAGAGTTAAAACATGGCTTTGGACATGGCTTTGCATGAGATCTTTTTACATGAAAAGTTTTTGGAGTTATTACTTCCTTATACCTATTTCATGTTGACCATACAAAAATGTGTGGTACTTAGCTAATTTGCAACAACATGGAACAATATTTATTACTTGAAGTCACCATAAATTACGTCTATTAGATACCTAAATACGTAGTTTCATTAGTGTAATTATGCTAAGTGAGTACCTAGTTGCGTCACGAAGTCAGTCAATATCGAACCCGAAATGATCAGGTTCTAATGTACTGAGTCATACTATATAATGTGAGTTTCCTTTTTTTAATAAAACTTGTCCCATTAGATGTCCGTCTAAAGAAAATTTTCTCCTGGGTTATGGGTTTCAGATAGGACATGTCACATCTATGCCCAGAAAAAAAATAATTATATCGCGATTCTTTCACACGGCATTTGGTTGCCCAGCCACCGCGACAACTGTGTCGAGCCAATTATATGTTTTTACCATTACATGAACAGAAACTTCAATGATTCAATGATGATGAACGAAAGGTAAATATTATTATAACATTAAAATAAGATCTATTATCCAAATATTTAGTAATAGCTAGTGCCGAGCGGTTTCACCCGCTGCTCGGCTCCTACAGGTTGTAGGGTGATGTTTTATAGCCTTTTTTTGTGAGGGGAAAATCATCAAATGACTTATCCCGCCCAGGGCCGGGCTGGAGGGAATGTCAGACTCTTACCCCCGGTTTCCGAAAGGCCGATCAATGTTAAAATCAATTTAATCTCTTGTCAAGTTATCGGATTGGTTGACTGAATTATCAACAGCCAATCAGATGACTTGACAAGAGATTTAACAGAAGATTAGTTAATTTTAGCGTTGACAAGCCTTTCAGAAACCTGGTGTTACTGACTAAAAACCCCCCTGTTCCTTCTCCTGCTCTGGGCCGGGGTCGCGGTGCCTCATTGCGCTTACCCCGCAACCCCGGCTGAACATCAGCCGTTTAGGGCCCCGCCTGTGGTGGTCTATTGGCTCTTTGAGGCGCAAGCGGAACCTTACGCATGTTTTATAGCCTACAGCACTCAGAATTTTTTTATCTTTTAATGAAATAATTTAGGAAAAATGACCTGTGGTTCCAAAGATTACCCCTACATACAAACTTACAAATTACAAATTTTACCTCTTAATAATATTACTATAGATTAATTAACAGGAAAATAAGTTATAGATGACTGCCAACTTCCACAAATTTGATAAAACTATAGGCTAACTAATACATCAATATACTCGTTTATGGCTTAATCTGGATTCCTATAAATAAAGGCAGGAGAAGTTTGATAATTTTTTCCTTATATTTAAAGTATATAGTAATATACTAGCAAGTATTTTTTTATTATCACAATATTCAAAATTCCCATAGCCTAATGGCTACGGGAATTTTGAATATAATTAGTATAAGTATAATTACTTAGATCTATATGAACAAGACAATATAGAAATAATACAATCAATTAAAATTATAGAGCAAAATCTCCAATGCATTTTTATAATAACTCGTAAAAATAGTAAGGCTACATAATGTTACTTATAATGGCTCATGGCAGTAAAATTTAATGACGCAATGAAAATAATTATTTTTAACTAACAGTACAAGTATGTCACTCACCTGCTCCGGTTATAGTATAAAATCCGTATTCATAATCCACTTGGATAGTATTTGGGTCACTATTGTTTGCGTTCCCCAGTACAACAGTTGTATAGTAACACACACCAACAATAGCAATGACCCAAAATACACACATTATGCTTGGAATAGCATTCCTTCTTAACATTTTTATAGCTCGGCTGTTAAGACTTGTAAGGTTGATCAGGGTACCAATACAAGAACAAAGAAGTACCATAAAGCATAGTAATATTAGAATCCTCATTAAAGTTATTGTCTCTGGTGTTGTGCAAGGAGGTAGACCTGAAAAAAAACAATTAAATATTTAATAAAAAAAAATGCAGATTCTGTTGGTATTAAGATTATAGTATAGTAGTATATTATTTACTGACTAATATACCACTGAGTATACACTAGTGAATGGTCAAGTAAAAATGCACATGGTTCTTAAAGGTAGATAGATGCATTAAATAATGAAAATGTGCTTATACCATCTATGAAAAACACATTGACATGGTAATCTTGCAAGTTTTCAAAGATATTGTATATGGATAACACCTTTTTTGTTAAGACTATTTATATCAAAATATTGATTAAAAAAAATATTAGACCAGGTACATATTTAGTGCATGTGTCTGCATTTCATTGTTAGTGGTACCTAAGATAATTTTTTTCTAAGTACTTTTGTATCTTATAGAAAATGTGGATGACCATAGTTTACTTTTAATGTAATATAGTTAATGTTGGAGTTCTTTGCATATTTTACTTGAATATATCATTGATTCAATAGTTACAGGCATGACTGAACACAAGGTCTATTTTCTTAGAGTTCCTACGTAATAATATCAAAGAGAATTTCATTGAAAAAATATTAACATTTGTAAAGGTAAGAAGATTTTACAAAACTTTAGGTATGATGTAGTTCCCTGCACTTGATGTATTTTTATAATGTTTAACTTACCATTATAATCATGTACACTTTGTAGAGGCTCAAATTCACTCTGTCGAATGGTAAGCTGTTCCTCATCATCATCATCATTATCAAATGAAAAGAATTGTGCTAAAGACAGGCTCTGTGTACAGTGCAATCCTTTGATCCTGAACCAACTGGGCTGAACTAGAGCAGCGCATGTCAGGAGAAATGTTGAAACATTGAAAAGAGCTGCAATTTTATTTAGTTCCTTATCTTTAAAAGGAAACGGCATTTTTAACCCTGAAAAACACATAGCAACAAGTTAACATACATATAGGGACACACCACTTAAGGAAAATGTTACAAGACCTACAAAGTACTTGAATACTTTTTCAAGACAAAATGCAATATAAGTGATATAAGTAATGATCCTTATTACTTTTAACACAGTTATAACACCTAACTACCTGATAAACGATGATTGACACATCTCAACATGTAAGACTGAGACAGTTATGTTTATGCTATAAATAGTTTTATACCTCTGGGGAGGCGCATCTTCGAGGGAGGTCGACTAGCTACTAATAACTTAGGTAATGTTATTGTACGCCAAATATGTTACCTGTGTAAAGGGTACCATGTCGTAATGCAAATAGATACGCAGCCTTTTAATAACATTAACTCAAGGAAAAGGTCATACGCACGTAGTATCGTAGATAAACATGTTATACGTTGTTGCAAAAAACTCATTTCAAATGTATTAGTGAATCGTAACTGAACTAGTCGTTAACTTAATTGAATGGAAATAATACAGAATAAGTAAAATCAACAAGATTGAACGTCATACCTCGGATCCACGATAAACACCCCATTATGTTGTACTTATCATTTGTACAAGATACCAAGGTAAACAATAGGCACGTTTGTATATGTTGTTACTGATTATAATGTTTAGACACCACGATTTACATCCGATTATACACAAAACTGTAGGCTTCTAGCCTCCGCAAAATATTTTGACAGCTGGTGCTAAAGATGTAGAATATCAAATCAAACAAAATGATGTCACATGAGAATCAAAATAATCGGACTTCTCTTCTACTCCTAGGCAAATCGCATAGCACACCAGCGCCACTTGTTGCTAAAACTGTTTGACAGCCAGTAATATCACTCCGTTTTACTAAGCAGGCTAAAAAATAGGTACCTATATGGATATCACAAGATAAAAACACAGTAGTATATTTTAATAAGTTACGATTTATAAAAGAAATATCTTTTATGTACCTACTAAATTAGCAGCTACTGCTTAAAAATTAGCAGTAACTTGTATTTATCATTCATATTCCGATCGATAGATGGCGTTAGTGAATAGAAAGTACCATACCTCTACCATGATTTAGGCGGCCGATTCAGGCTTTTTGCTTGCTCAATATCGAGACCTATAAAGCTGTTATTAAAATTAAAAAATATTTCACGATCTCATTGGAATAACGGGTCAAATTGACATTTATTGTTGAAACTATAGTCAAGTAACTAGGTAATTACGTCTTCTGCGTTTGCAGTCAGATGCGTAGATGCGTAATGGCATCAAGCACTGCCAAAATGGTACTCATCAAAGTCACCATGACTGTGATGCGTACCTACCTAGTGAGTACTGAGTGATAGGAAGGCTCACTGCGGAGGTGACCTGGATTTCGCACAGAACAAACCCAAGCAGTGCCTGCTCTCTCTCCCATACCCAAATCGTTTTTTCAAGATAAAAAGGTCACACTAGGTACTTTTACTTGACTTGTAGGTATCTTAATAAAATCTTTTGTAATTCTACATACAAGATATTGAAGTTAATAGACAGATAATTACCTACCTTTCCTACATAACAAAATATTGTCGAGAGTGATTTGTCTCCTCGTGAATATGCGTCTTCCTATTAGGAAGGTAAGTCAATTAATGACCCTATAAACTTGTAATTGAGATCCAATTATCCAGTGTTGTTGGGTAACAGTGTAGGTATCGTACCTTCTGCTTTCACATAGCTTTAGGTTTTTTTTTGTCACCAAAGGAATTAGTAGGTACCTACGGATAAGTAGTCCACAAACCTAGTTTACTGAACTATAAGTAAAATTAATAAACAAAAAAATATAGTAGGTAGGTGTGAAATAAATATTATACAAAATTATCAGGGAGCTGAATGTTTTTTAGTGCGTTAGTTAAGTTATTAGGATATAGTACCTATAGGGAAATGGAAAAAAGAGTTTCGAGTAGTAGATAAGTACTAAGGTGGTGTTACAAAAATAGACGGAAAGCTCTCACACTGCCCCAGGCGTCCGCGACGGTGACATCGCTACACACAAAGAATGTGTATCTTTGTTGTTGGAACAAACGTTATACACTGCTAACTATGCATATAGCTTATTTACAAGTATCTCGGCTATGTGGGTCGGCTTTAAAATGTTTCCGGAGCCCCCAGTCTGCCACGAGCCGTTTGCTTGCAAAGAATATTTGTATTCCTGTAAAATATTGCCAGCCTAACACAACAAAAAGTGATAAATTAAATTTGAAAATTGTATTACCCAATTAATTACGAACAAAAAGGAACAATTAACTTTTGTGTAATTCATGAAAAATGTGGGTCCACAATGTTCTGGTTACAAAGTGACGTGAAAGGGAAATTAATTAGAGATAGGTACTTTTCCTTAGTAATATTTACGTGAGTTATAACAGCGCTATGAATGACAATTTGATTAATGTGGACTATTATTACATCTACAATGTAAGTTTTAATAACAACAATGATTCGGTCCACAATTCTTCGTTCGAGAACACAGTTTGTTATTCAATAAATTTCCTCTACAACTCAAGTGTTGGAATCGAAATAGCAGTGCCAGAATGGGAAGCGTTAACTACTATTGTCATGCTATTCATTGTCATCACGGGAACAATTTTTGGCAATATTCTGGTTATTCTTGGAGTTTTCACGTATAAACCCTTGAGAATAGTACAAAACTTTTTCATCGTGTCTTTAGCAGCTGCTGACTTGGCAGTTGCAGTGTTGGTAATGCCTCTCAACGTGGCCTATATGACTTTGGGCCGCTGGTTGTGGGGTAAGCAGCTATGCAAGATGTGGTTAACTTGTGATATTATGTCCTGCACTTCATCAATCCTGAACTTGTGCGCTATAGCACTCGACCGATATTGGGCAATCACAGACCCTATAAACTACGCTAATAAGAGAACTCTGAAACGAGTTATGTATCAAATTATTGGAGTTTGGATTTTATCCTTAATTATAAGCTCACCACCGATTTTGGGTTGGAATGATTGGCCGGATGAGTTTACCGCTGATACTCCCTGTCAGCTTACCTCAGAACCTGGGTACGTTGTGTATTCCTCTCTCGGCTCATTTTTCATACCACTCGTTATTATGACAATAGTATACATAAAAATCTACATAGCTGCGCGACAAAGATTAAGGAAACGTGTGCTTGTTTCACGTATCCAGAATAAAAATCCAGTATTAGTAGTACAGAGTCGGGAAGAGAGTCAAGAAAACAGAGAAGATTCAGATAACGAATCGGACAGTGGAGGAAGTATAAAACGTTGTCAGAGAAAAGCTTTCATGGACATAAAGAAAAACTTCTTTGTGCCATTTCTGTTGTTGAACGATCCAGTATCTCGACAAACTATTGAAGCAAATATGAACCAGATACGAACGGATGTGTCACCGGGCAGCTGCGGCAGTTACAAGACCAAGGTCGTTGGTTCTCTAAAGAAAATGAGTCAGAAAAATAAAAAGCAAGGGAAACCGTTGCTGGCGAGTGTTAATAAAAGCGGGGACGTAGTAAACCAGTTCATTGAGCAGAAGCAAAAGATCTCGCTGTCTAAGGAAAGGCGCGCTGCCAGAACTCTGGGCATCATAATGGGTGTGTTTGTTATCTGTTGGCTACCATTTTTCCTTATGTACCTTATACTACCGTTTTGCTCATCTTGTTGTCCAAGCATGAGACTCATTAATGTCATTACTTGGTTAGGATATGCTAATTCTACAGTAAACCCATTAATCTATACCATTTTCAATATTGAATTTAGAAAAGCGTTTAAGAAAATACTAGGTATTAAATAAGTAGATTCATAGAATGTGTTTGTTTTGGCTTTGACCTCCTAAGTGTAATTATTAGAAAATTTTTAATATTACCATTTTGATTATGATACACCTTATTTATAAACCTTATCATTTTATAATACGAACTTTAGAACTTTTCAGAACCTATATTTTAGTAGCAAACCTGTAAACGGCACCTAACGCAATCTGATGTAAGTACACATTAAAATACTTTGTTACTAAAATTTAAACAATACAATTCTAACACAATCTATTGTTCTAATTTATATTTAAAATTAAATGGAGCTGAACAAAACAAGAAGTAGTGAGGTCGAGACTCGACAGAGCACAAGCCTTGTTAACAATCCGGATGGTCCTTAACAACTGGCTTGAATTGAGTCGAGTGGTACGCTTCCTATGTAAATAACATAACATCATCACTCCTCTATTCTTCGAAGGCACACGTGTAAGGAATACTTATGTAGATATCAATTTTGTCTGTTTCAAATGCAGCCTTTTTACGTACATTTAAGGGTAGAGTTTACTCTATAGCATATATATCTTTGTTTACTTACACATATAGATGGTGAGGTGGCAAGAAACTTTAATTACGGTGTAAATATAATTGTTATTTCCTTAAGAAGTGTAATGCAAGTAAGTCGGTATATGTCTGTCTGCTTTTGTATACCTAAATATTTATTTAAAATAACCGATAGTCGTTTACGAACTTATTCAAATACTTACATTTTAGTCGTAGCACCTACGTGTGCTAAAATTGTAGCAGGCATACTATTTGTATTTTGTATTTTGTGAATTAATGTTCTCATTTATTAACCTGTATTTTCTCATTTAATTAGGTAAGATAATTGTGTAAAATACAACTGTGACGTAGTGTGAACTTGTGAAGTAATTAACGCTATCAATCATGTAACCTATTCTGGCGCATCACTTGCCAGAGACATTCGTTTGATGAATTGCCCTTGATTCAATACTCTGTGGTAATTATTTATGATTCCATCCCAGGGAATTGTTGTTTATGAAACTTTTTTTATGACAAAGGATCGTAAGGATAATGTAGATTTTAAAGTAGGTATTATAGATTTATTATCTATGTACACAATCACGAATAAATAAAAATTGTTTTGTCTTTATTAATATACATATAAATAATCAGAAAATTAATTTACATAGCAAACTACTTGCTGCTTTTTTTCTTTTCCATTTACTTTTAAGTGGCAAAACTTCGTGTAGGTACCTATAACGCGTAATTTTAAAAAAAGGCCATGCAGGTTGACATTTAATTTGAGACGACAAGAATACAATCAGTGATGGTAAAAAACAAGACTTGTTTCTGAGAAAATTGTTTTGATTACAAAAACCACGAAGTTGCTAAGTACTTCTTATTAGAATTGTGTTTAAGAAGATAAGACGCTTGGGGTTTTTGTCCTCCCTTATGTCTCAGGGGAGGATACGTAGTAAGTACCTATTTGTTTACTTGTTACAATAAATATTTGTGTTATGTATAAATGTTTTTTTTAGGAATAAGGACGTTCTTTTTATATTATTTAACGTAATTGTATCGAACAAGAATTCATTAAAAATTTATCATATATGACTCATTAGTGACTTCCATGATTAAAACATTGGCACTATGATTAAAATATATATAATAACTATGAGTAATTACAATCAAACAGTAACTATAGAGTAAGTAACACCAAAATATAAAATATTTTACGTTGACAAGTATTTATTGGCTTTTTAATGGGTATTCAATATTAAATATTAAAACCGCTTCAATATTAAAACCTTTTATTTTAACATTCATGCGAGTCGTAAAGCTGGTTTACACGTGACCAGAGAATTAAATCGTTTGGAAACGCACATCTTACATTGTTGTCACTTCCAGTGGTTCATTGATATATCGTTATCGTATCGTTACATACCTACATAGCTTCGAAACAATCATAGACAAACCAACAAGTTTTTCAACGGTCTCCAAAATATGGAGACCGTTGAAAAACTTCTGGTTTTCAAAATTATGACAAAAAATTATTAATATAAAAAAAGCTACAAATGAGGACACAAAAAGTAATAAATTATTGTGACATTACAAAGTTTATTAAATGGCTTAATATATGTAATGTTCACTGGTATATCCATTCATAGTACTATTTTAGAGATGTTTGTGTGCACCTAGGGGCAGATGTTTCTGGTGTCGAATGCATACTAATGTCCCGTCTGGATTGCATTGGGATTGGGCGGCAACCAGACACTATATCTTATGCAGTAGCTCGTGTGTTTGGCACAGAATTCTGCCTGTTTAGTGCAACTCAGCAAAAACAGGTTTTATATCCTTTTTTGTTAGTCAGTATAGTATGTGAATTATATACCTATTGTGCTTAGTTAATGAGAAATTGGAACACGTTTCCCTCTGTCTATATTATATGTATTTTTGTCTGTGTGTACCTACACAGGTTACTAAAATATTATTTTCAGTGAGACGCCCTGTTGTCTTCTGTAATTGACAGATAACAATTATTTTTTTTGATTATATTTTAACTAAGTAGGTGTATTTTTTATTCTAAATAGGTAACATTTTGTAGGTAATTTATATATTTAATAAATTACCTATTAAAGTATGCATCCTTAAAGTATTTTGACTGTGAAAATATCAAATTATTCAATCACTCGAAAACAAAACATTGCCAGAGCCTTTATAAAATTCAAAGAATGTTTGTTGGAAAATATTTGTTTTCGTTAAAATTCGTTTTAAGTTAAATAACTGCTCTTTTTACGTCATTTAACCTTAGCCTGCCTTATAAATGGTTGGGTTTATTTAAATTTCGTAAGTTAATAATTGATGTGAAGAGCCTTGGTTAATTCTTTGACTAGAAAACTACCTAAAATTGTTCTTAAGAGTGTAACCGTTGTATAAAAACAGTTGAAGGGTAATCCTCTGCTAACAAAGGATACCCTATTCGATAATAAAAGAGGTTAAACATTTAGGTAATTTAAACTAGGGCTTAAAGTGTGTTAGCTTTTTAGGTCAAATTTAAAATGCACACTATGTGCCTAACATAAATAGCTTGTTACAGTCTACCACTGTACTGATCTCGTCTATTCAGAAGGTTTGCATAATTTCCACGTTTAGTTTGATAGCGCAGCTGTCCAGTCCTTTTCACAATGTACGAGTAATTTACGACATCATTTGTTTCTTACCAATGTATCACTACCTGTCCTACCTGAGCGCCCGCCGCGTCCACCACTCTGGGCTTAGTGGGTCCCCCATCATCATGTATGGTAGGTATAGGGGCTTCAATGTACAAAAACCCAGGTCTGGTCAAATATATATTGGTAGCTTTTCACTAGCTCTTAGACTAATGCTTTAACAACGCATCATTCGGGGTTGCGATTATTGCGAAGCAAGCGTCGCGATAATAATGCATCGGGAACCCGGCATGGAACAGGATAATGAACGGGATGGTTTTCAGTCAGTAAGAGTCTGACACTCCCTCTCGCCTCAATCAAGGAGGGAGAGAACATTTGATGGTATCCTAGTATTACGCCGCGCCGCCGTCCCTTTTATGCCAATTGTTTGTCTTCCAACTTACTTACAGTATCAAAGTCAGTGTCATATCAGATTTTAGCACCTTTGGAAAATAAAATCTTACGTGAACAAATCCGATAGTGGAGCGTGTCAATTCCACTTAAGCCAACTCTTCCTGCCATAAAAAGTAACTTATTCTGATTTATTAGGTATTCTCAAGGCTCTAACTTAGTTTCCGAGCTTTTCCTCCTACTACCACAGTACCGTCGGCACGAGATTTGAAGTTGATGGCTCCCGTGAGAGATCTCACCCCGTTTTAGGTTACTGACCTGCTACCAAACTACATACCTACTTTGTCATTAATAGGTAAGAAAATTTGAGTAATTATAATTAAATATTATATTAAGTATACAATTGTTTAACATATATATGTTAAACAATTTAATGCATTTTTTAAATGAAATGTGTTTGAACAATTGAAAGTTCATAAGATATCGAGCTTATTAATGCCCAAAAGGCCCCGGTTCAAAAAGATACCACAGCCTCGACCTGGAGCATGAGAAGGAGCGGGGGGTTTTTATATGAATATGAATGTAGGTTTTGAGTTTGATACCCAGCGAAACTTTGTTTCCTTTTAACAAAGATTATAAGGCCCATTAAAATTTCAATTACCAAATTATGCATTTTTTGCTTACCCACTTTTTTTTGTCAGGGGAACGTCATCAAATGACTTCTCCCGTCCAGGGTAAGGCGAGAGAGAGTGTCAGACTCTTACTGACTGAAAACCCTCCCTTCCTTCTCCTGGTCTGGCCCGAGACCGCAGTGACACATTGCGCTTAGCCCGCAACCGCAGCTGAACATCAGGCCTATAGCGCCCGGTCCGTGGTGGTCTGTTGGATATTTGAGGCGCGCGCGGAACGCTACGCGCCGTATGCTCGATGTGGTTCTGGTCTGATGGCGAACTACCCTTACTCGCCGTCCGCAGACCCGCGTTTACGGTGGCCGGAGATCATCTCTCGATCCCCGACGCCCCGAATGTTGCGTTTCCTCCCGCTGGTTCCGAATCAGGAACCTACCGAAGCTGCCGTGCCCGGTAAGCACCTGCGTCAGGCGGAAGGTGAGGACGCCGTGGCGTGTCTCAAGCCACTCCTCAAAGAGGGATCTTACTGCTGCTATAACAGCGTGCCCGTTTGCTTACCTACCTGCTTTTTGCATTCAAAGGGTAATTCAAATTTGTACATTTATAACTATACTACAAAAATCAATGCCAT